TGCTACGGTTGGAGCCAAATAAACAAGCACAGATGTTACGACTAACCATTCGCGCTAGCAAAGAGGCTGTCACCCGCGAAATGTGTGAGCTTCTTACGGATCAGTAAGGAGCAACGAACACTTTAGTTTAGGTTGAAAAAGTGAATATTAAAAGAAAAAAAGAACAACGTAGCTGGATTGTGTAAGAGACTTGAATGCTTCAATAAGAATCAGGTTCTTATGGTCATACAAAAAAAGCAAAGAAAAATCTATTGAAAAAGAACTATTATATCATATTTAGCACAATTCGCAAATCTAAAGGTTTACCAAAAAAAAAAAACTTTGATGAAATTAACTAAAACTTAAAATTTATGAACAATTGAATAGCTTTTGCAATACACTAGCATAACAAATCTTTTGAAAATAGTGTTGACAGATTTGAGATTTTCGTTTTCTTGAATGTATGTGAAAATTTAAAAGTGTAATGAATTTACGCTTATTCGTTTCAACTAGCTAGATCTACAATTGAGTGATTAAAGTACATGTTTTCCCTTTCAAAGCACAATAAAAAATACACTACAAAGTTTGTTCGTTTAGACTTAAAATGGGAACAAACGTATTTTGAAAACTGGTTTAGCGGGTCGGATCGTTGCTTGAAGCTAAGGAATATGACGAGTAGCTTTTGAGCAAAATACAAAAATCCATGAAAAGCCTTTTTTTTATTTGGTTCAAGTTTCTTTTGATTTGATTCTGTTACACAGAATCTGTATAATCAAAATGTGGTTTTAAGGGTCCAGCTGACGGTTCTCTTCGTATCCTGGTTTTCAGTTACTTCCATCTTCATCCTTGTTGGAAATGTCGTTGGTCTGGTAACAAAGTTTTATGTTTTTACCCCTTTTTTTTGTTGTTAACCGTTTATTTGAGACTAATCGATTTGTGTTTTTTATCAGGGATTGCTGACATAACGCCGCTGCGTATCGTTCCATGAAGAAAGAAAAACGAAGCTGATTGGCAATTTTACTCACCGAACCCTTTTGGAACCGAGGATATGTGAGTTTTTAAATATTATAATGACTGCTAATTTTTACTTGAAAAAAATTTTACCTTTTAAACTTCGGGTGGGGTATTTGCTTCAACTTGCAACTGAATACACATTCATTCCGCCTCAACTGTGCTGGTCTGCTAGACTTTTGATTCTAAACACTGGAACGCCAATGTTAGTCGATTCGACCAACACAGTTTATGTTTTGTGGGGAAGTCTCTTGAAAATTCATTTTTGAAATTGGAATTTCATTATTTAAACCACAACATAACCGCATAACATTTGCTTTATTTTAGTTAGCAATTATTATCTTAAGAACATATCGAAAGCTCTTTGAGGATTGATGCTTTAAAACTTAAAAACATCAGTGCTAAATACGTATTAAAGATATGATTGGTGTTCCAGGGTTAATGAATTTGTGTTCAGTTGAGGCGGAGTAATTTGCTACTTCTGCAATTTTAATTGTGAATTCAGATCTGAGGATGGTCGTTTTTGTGTAACCAGATCAACCCGGGGTAACCCGAGTAAGAACCATCACCATAAATACAAAAATGCTAGGCACTTTTTTTTATGGCAAGTTAGGGGTGGAATCCCTCCGATTACCTGGAAGTGGAATGCTGTGGTAAAAGGAAGTGGAATAAGCTATAGGTGAAGAAGGGAATTTATAGGGTGATTGTTGGCTCCGAGTTTCCATCGCTGTATGGTGGGAGTAGAACCAATTTCACTAGTGGTCTGGTAACTTGACCTTTCTCCGTCAGGATGTCCACTACGCGCACTCTGCCATCGGTACCGGGGTGTAAGTTGACAACTCGCCCCAACCTCCATTCAGTTGGGGGTAGATTGTCTTCCCTGATAACTACAAAATCACCTGTTTTCATATTCTCCTTGGGGTGCTTCCATTTAATTCGCTTTTGTAGTTCAGCTAAGTACTCCACTTTCCATCGCCTGCAAAACGTCTGATGCAGTGCTTTTAGTTTTTGCCATCGATTGACGATGGAGGCAGGGTTCTCATTCACATCAGGTTCTGGCGGAGCCATAAGATGTCCACCCGTGAGAAAATGGCCTGGAGTAAGCGGCTCCAGGTCATTTGGCTCATTTGAAGAGGGACTCAGTGGTCGCGAATTAAGGCACGCCTCAATCCGGCACAAAAGCGTACTGAGCTCTTCAAAGGTGTATTTGTGAGCGGATGCCACCTTTTTAAAGTGGCTTTTAAAGCTTTTTACACCTGCTTCCCACAGTCCTCCCATGTGAGGGGCTGCAGCGGGTATAAAATGCCACGTAAGTATTTGGTGGTTATATTTTGAAATCGTTTTGTCTCGCGCGTCAGACAAAAAAGCTTTGAATTCAGATCGTAAAGATCGCGAAGCGCCGACAAAATTTGTACCATTGTCGGAATAGATATTCTTCGGGCATCCTCTTCTAGCCACGAACCGAGCAAAAGCTGCTAGAAAGGATGGGGTACTAAGGTCACTGGTGGCTTCTAAATGAATCGCTTTAGTGGCGAAACAAACAAATAGGCAAACATAGCCTTTGGAAATTCGACAACCTCTACCACGGTAACTTTTAATTTCAAAAGGTCCCGTGAAGTCTACTCCCGTATTCGTGAACGCGCGCGTAAATGTTGTGCGTTCCTGAGGAAGAGTTCCCATAATTTGCGTCTGAGATCGTTTCTTGTAGATGGTACAAATTTTACAATTGTGGATGGTAGACCTAATCATGTTTTTTACCCTGGGAATCCAGTACTGGGTACGGATAAGGCGTAACATGAGCTGATTTTCTCCGTGTAAGGAGACTTGGTGAATCATCAGGACGATCAGACGGGACAATCTGCAGTTGTACGGAATAATGATTGGATGGCGCTCATTATAAGCTAAGTCCTGGGATGCTCCGAGGCGGCCTCCAGCCCTGATGATGTCGTGCTTGTCGACGAACGGATTAAGCGGAAGGATTTCACTCTTTGCATCGATGGGTTTTCTAGTTTTCAAATTCCTGTATTCTTCACCGTAGTGTTGCTTCTGGTTGATTTTTATCAAGAGATGTGTCGTCATCTTAATTTCATCTGATGAAATTAAACAAGAATTTTCCTGAAATAAAGCTTTAGTTTTCGGGTGAGTTCTTCGATAGAATCTCATGACATATGTTAACACTCTCAAAGCTCTCGGTAGATCTGAAAACCGGTCAAGAATATCGATATCATTTACTTTTGTTGATGCATAAGCGTGTGCCCTTTTTTCTTCAACTTCTGTGTGATAGTTAATTTCTTGAGCAGGCCATTTAGAGTTGTCTTCTTGCAACCAAGAAGGTCCCTGCCACCACAAAAAATTGGTCACCAACTCTGACGCAGGCAATCCTCTGCTAGCTAAGTCGGCTGGATTTGAAGCCGAGTCTACATGCGACCAGTCCCTGTTACCGACTTTTTCTATTATTTTCGTAATTCGGTGTGCGACAAAAGTTGACCAAGAACAAGGCGGCTTTCGTATCCATGCGAGTACGATGGTCGAATCTGTCCATAGATATGTTTTCACTTGCCCTAGGTTGAGGTTCTTGATTACTGATTCTATGATTTCCGCGAGCAGTACGGCTCCGCAAAGCTCTAGTCGTGGTAGCGATATTGTTTTGACAGGAGCTACTTTGGTTTTTGCCAAAAGTAGGCTGACCAAAACTTTGTCATCTCTTTTGACGCGCATGTATGCAGTAGCCGCATATGCTTTTTCCGATGCGTCGCAGAAACCATGTATCTCGATGTCATCTCCTGGTGCGAAGTGTACCCATCGAGGTATTCTAATATTGTCTATTTCATGGTAATGTTTGGTAAAATTGTGCCATCGTTCCATAGTAGTAGAAGACACAGTCTCATCCCAGTCTGTGCCTTCTAGCCAAATACTCTGCATGATTATTTTGGCCACGACGACTATTGGAGCAAGCCATCCTAGCGGATCAAATAGCTTGGCGATAGCTGATAGTATCGCCCTTTTTGTAGGTGTCTCGCGGTCCTCCAATGGTCTTGCCATGAAATAGAATAGATCGGTATGGGCATTCCATCTTATGCCAAGAGCCTTAACCGTGCTGGTATCTTCGAATGCCAAAAAGTCTTCACTGAGTAGATCCGTTTTTGGGATGTCCTTTAGAATTTCCGCACAGTTTGAGGTCCATTTCCTTAGCGGAAAACCGGCTGACCGTAGTACTTCCGAGATTTCATCTCTTGCTTTTACGGTAGAGTCGATGCTATGTCCTCCAGCTAGCACGTCATCCACATACATGCATTTCCGAAGTATGTTAGATGCTATTGGGGAAGAACTTTCTACATCGTCAGCCAGTTGTAGAAGTGTCCTTATCGCGAGGTAAGGAGCACAATTAATCCCGAAAGTGACAGTCTTTAATTCGTATAGACTTACAGGTTCGTTCGGGTTTGTACGGTAAACTATCCGCTGATATTTGGTATGGTTGCTATCCACCCAAATTTGTCGGTACATCTTCTCGATGTCACTATTAAAAACGTATCTGTATAACCTCCAGCGGAGTATAAGGATCGGAAGATCTGCTTGGAGAACTGGACCTGGGAGAAGTACGTCGTTCAGACTTGTGCCATTAGCCGTTGTACTTGAGGCATTAAAGACGACTCGAACTTTAGTGGAGGTACTTTCTGCCTTTATGACAGCGTGGTGAGGCAGAAAGTAGTTATCGGAAGAGTTTGCTGAAATACCATCATTTATTCTGGACATGTGTCCTAGTGATTCATATTCAGCTAGTACCCTATTATACTCTTTTTGTAGGACGGTATCCTTTGCAAGCCGTGTCTCATTCCGGAAGAACTGAGAGCATGCTTTTTTAAGAGAAGGGCCTAGGCAGATGTTTGCGGGAAATTCCTGCCTGAATGGTAGCGAGACTACGTATTTTCCGTCTTCTCGTCTACGAGTTGTCTCCCGATAAAGTTTGTCACAGTATTTGTCGTCTTCGTTCAAGCTTTTGTTTTTTGGTATGTCTTCGAGTTCCCAGAATGCAGTTAGTTGTTTGTCCAAGGCAACTTCACTGTGATACGAAACTATATTGTTGGTTGGATTGGGTGCCTCTGTGCATCCTGTTAATATCCAACCGAACACTGTTTCTTGGGCGAGAAGTGTACTGAGTACATTCTTCTTCAAGCCGCATAGAATAATTTGGGGATAAATGTCTCCGCCAAGTACAAGGTCTACTTCTTCATTCACGTAGAACCGTTTATCAGCTAGAGCAAGACCTGGAAATGCCTGCATAGTCATAGCGCTGATATGACAGGATGGTAGATTTCCGGTTAGTCTTGTTAGGACGAGCACTGTTGCATGCAGGCTGAACAATGGATCAACAGGGGATCGAAGTTCTATGCTGCATGCCTCTTTGACCTGCGCAGAGGTTGCATTCGTAATGCCCGAGACTTGGGCATGCATCCTCTTAGCTGGCAGGTTGATTCTGCGTTTGAGTCGTTCTGTTATGAACGAACACTCAGAACCAGAGTCAATAAGTGCTCGAGCAGAAAAATCTGTGCCATTGAGACGTATATTTACGCGAGCTGTTCCTAAGAGCACACCTGAATTTGTGTTAGCATAACAAGACTTAACGTCTTTGCTTTTATTGTTATGTGTTCTGTTATTAAAGCTGCGCTTTGCTGGAGCCTGCTGAGAGGAGGATGCGGTGTTATTGGCAGGTCCCGGCGGCGTTCGAGCCGCTGTTGCCTTTGGCACATTTGTCTGAATGTGCAGGAGCGAGTGATGTCGCGAGTGACACATGCTGCAATTAAAGGGGCTTGTGCACCTCGTCACGGTATGTGCAGCACTCAAACAATTCAGGCAACTGTTGTTGCTCTTTAAGTAATTAAACCTCTCGTCAGGCGTAAGCTTCAAGAATTTGGAACAGCGGCGTAGTTTGTGCTCATTCGTTTGGCACATTGTACAAGTGAACTTGGTCACGCTTGCTTGGAATGCACCAAGTCTTTTGGTATGGGCTTCTGAAGGGTTTTTATTGTTTTGCGGCTTTGGTGCCTTAACTGCTTTTGTACCCTTTAAACCTGTCAGGGTTTCCAGGGTTTGGAACCTATTAGATAGGAACTTATCCATATCTTCCCACTTCGGTAAATCGCCTGTGTGGTCTATGGTTTGCTCCCATAGAGCCAAAGTGCTGTCAGGCAATTTAGTCGAGCAAAGATATATAACAATTGAGTCCCAATTTGAAATGTCAATTTGATGACTCTTGAGGGATGACAAACAATTGTTGATATCACGCTGCAATCTTTTAATAGAGCTACCACATTCACTCTCCACTGAATTTAAATTGAATAATATTTTTAGTTGTGTGTTCACGAGAATACGCTTATTTTCGTATCGCTCACACAAATTTTCCCATGCTGTTGCGAAGCCTTCATTAGTTATTAGGCACTTACTCACAATGTCTTTGGCTTCTCCTTTGGTTTTTTGGTTGAGGTAATATAGCTTCTCAACCGGAGTAAGCTCCTGATTCGAGATGTAGATGGCCGTGAACATGTCTCGAAATGTTGGCCAAGACAGATAATCGCCTTTGAAAACATCTGTATCACACGGTGGAAGGTGAATATTGTGTTTTCGCATGGGCTTCTGTTCTATATCTCGTTCTTCTTTTGCTATTTTCTCAGCCTGAGCAGCCAAAGACGACATGCAATTTACATAACTAGCAAACGCGCCTCTATTTATTTTTCTGTATGTCCTCTTATCTTCTTGTGAAAATTCTTCAGAGGTGTTGAGGGCATCGTAGGCTAGTTTTGTTTTCTCCCACAGTGATCTGAGTTCTTCCTGCTGAATCGCAAGGACATGCTTGTTTTGCTCTGATATTGAGGAAGCAAGAAAGTCGGACTCGAATTCCGTCACTTCTTCTGCTAAGCTCATGAATGAATCCATTATGAGGTTGAAGATGGTTTTACGACCAACAGAAAGAACGGGAGTTTGTTAAAAAATTTAAAAATCTTTTCGAAGATGTGATAATATTAAAGGCAAATATGCACTAGACTATTCAAACCTGTTGAAAGGTTCACAACAAAAAAACGAAATTGTTTGCCGCTAGAGTTAAAAATACCAAAACCGCCAAAGAGCAAAATGTATCCACAATTAAAAATTCGTTTTTTTTGCAATTCTTTATTTTTTAATGCAAAGGTTGTGGATATAAATTTAATAAATGTATGCTAACAAACTCGCCACCCAACTGTGCAAATATATACGTATAGATATATATGTATTTCTATGGACCAGCAACGTCCTTATAAACCAATAAAATGTGTGCAAATCAAAAAAACAATAGAGCCAAGGTGCAACAAAGTGACTTTGTGAAAGTGACTAGCGTAAATTGAAGGCTAGTGTGAAAAAAATGGCAAGTGAGGTTATGTGTTCACAAACCAATGACAAGTGATCGTGAAAAGAGGTTAGTGCAAGAAATTGGCTACTTCTGTGAAACTAACAAAAAAA